CTCACACACACACACACACACACACACACACACACACCCTCTCTCTGCATCTGTTCCTACAGCCTTGTGGGTCATGAACCCCAACTCTGGGTGCTCCATGGACATGTACTATAATGTTGGGGTACCCCCTGGGGTTATGTGTGGATGTAAGTGACAGCCCTGCCCTCCCCCTTGACGCCCAAACTCCTACTCATCCTTTAAGAGTAGCATCTCTCAAGGTGTGGTGTGAAGACAATTAGAACTCTATAAAGTGCCCTGTACAAATAGTTTTTCTGGGCCCACTGAATCAGAATCTTTGATGAATAAATAAAAAGATAACAATGGTGTTATCTGCATTTATGGATGTTGAAAAAAAGTCTTTATTTTCTCATTTAATCATCCCAATGAGCCTATGAAGGCTACTTTACAAATGCAGAGACTGAGGCTCAGAGAGCTTAATTAACTTCCTCAGGGTCACACAGCTAACAAATTAGAAAAGGATGCACTTGACCATAGGCCATTATGACTTGAAGTCCATGTACTTGCTTGGTACCATGTCTTCCCTCACTTCCCACCACTTCACCCCCAAATCCCAATCCTGGTAGAAGTAAACACAGGAAGAAAATAGCAAAAGCAGCAGACCAAGTACTCGCCCCTTCTCCTCCCTCCTTCATCCCTGTTGGTCAGGAACCCCCAGATTTTGCAAACCTCCTTGACTGAAGATTTTATACTGGTAAATTTTCCCAAGTATTTGGTATTTCCCAAGTTTCATGGTTCTAGGAAATACAAGTATTCTTGTTTTCAGACCTAAGTCCTCTTGTTTTTAATTCTAAATCTCTCCAAAAGTCATAGTGGTAGTGAACCTGAAATTAGGAAATGCTTCAAGAAACTAAAAAAGGCTAAAATATGGTTCTTGATGAAATGCATAAAAGAACAAGCCAACCGTTACATTTTTTTCTCTAGACTTGTACCATTTATAACACAGTTACTATGTCTTTCAATTTTAAAATAATTATGAGAAACACAAACTGAGAGTTAGCAATTATTATTTTACAAAATATGTCTGCTTAAGGGCCGGCCGAGTGGCGCAATGGTTAAGAACTGGCTTGGGATGCCAGAGGGCCCCGGTTCAGATCCCACATATGAGGACCAGTGATGCTGCCCTCCACAGCTAAGATGCTGAACAACAGCTCAACCTGGAGCTGGGCTGCCCGTGAGTCGCCGGCGACAGCATAGGCTGCAGCCCCTGCTGCAGTGGGTTGCCATGGGCTACCNAAAGGGGTTCAGCTACTGAGTGGCCAAAAAGGATGACAGGCCTCCATTCCCTACATCTTTTTGGGAGAACGCTGGAGTCCAGCTCTGCCATTACCTGCCCTGTCACCTTTAACAAATCCAGGGACATCTCACAGCCTGTTTCCTCATCCTTAATATTATTTTTAAATGATGGTTTCTATTTACATAGAGCTTTACAATTTGCAAAGCATTCCCACGCATACATATGTTTTCATTTGAGCCACAAGACAACTCTGTGTGATAGAGAAAGAAAATAGTGTTATCTCCATTTTACAGATTGGAAAAGAGAGGCACAGAGTGACTTGCCTAAGAGTGCTTCTCATACTGTAACCCTTAACCAGTCAAATGAGTTAGTGTATGTGAAAGTAAACTGAACACTGTAATGTGTTATTCCAATAAAAAGTGCTCCTTATTACTCTAGTAGCACTCCTTAAATATGTACGCTTCTAATCGAATTGAATCACCTACCATGATGGAGTTGGTCCCAGGATTCTCAATGCCCTACTCACCTTATGGTACGGTGAAACTACAATATTACCAGGAAAAGTTAATAATTACCATCAGTGGTGAGGTGTATATTAATGAGCAATAAAGGAATGCTGCAGAAACCCAGATAGAAGGAATTGATCAAGCTAAAATGATTTCATTGTTTAGAGTCTTCTGCAGAAAGTAACTGAGAAAATCTTACATGTTTCTTTTGAACTATTTTGAAGAATTAAAATGACAAACATTTCAATTGTTTGTTATTTATCACTCATACAAGTTCTTCTACAAAGTTCAACTCCAGTTCTAGGAAGTTAAAAGGCCACTAACGGACCAAGACAGTGATAAGGCCAGAATTCCCGTCTTTTTTTCTCAACAATCAATGTTTATTTTGGGTTTCTTAAATAATGAGTCTCTTCTATTTTTTTGTCTAGAAAGACACAGTAGTTTTATCCTTTTATCTCTCTTTTAACAGTAGGTCACACCCTATGATTCTTTTATCATCTGTTATGTATTCCATTAACTCTAGTTCCTTTTTTGTTATTGATGTTACATCAAGTGAAAGACTTTTTAACAGGGTTTTAAATTGGGTGAGGTCAAATGTCTTTAGCAGAGCCTGCCCAAGGAGATAAATGCTCAGCTAAAGCAGTGGAGAATGGGTTAGTATATTCCATTACTGTTATGAAGAAGTCCCTGCTCTACAAATATATGGTGATAAATATTGTCACTACCCCATCTAAATGGAAATATGTCTTTATTCATATTCGTTTATTTGCCTTTTTTGTGGGCAGAGGGATCCTTTACTATTTTGAATATTCTATATTGGTAATAACAGCAATTGTGCCTACTATATGCAAAGGACTATGCTAAGCATTTTAAATATATTATCTCAAACCCCCTTTGTTACTACCAACATATCAACAATATTATCAACATTATCTGGTTGATTATACAATCTACGAATTATAATCATAATAATCACTAATGTTTACTACTTTTTACAATGCCACTGGCAACAGTGTTAAGCTCTTTTACATATGTTGCCTTGCTTAGTCCTCACTCCTGCCTTATGAGGTAATTACTGTTATCATTCCCATTTTACAGATAAGGAAACTGAGTGTGGATGAAAAATGGGGTTCTATGGAAAGTAACCTCACAGCTTATAAGATCATAAATTTCTAACTGGGCAGGTCATGGTGGTGGGTAGTCATATCCCAGGCATATAACTTCTTTTTGTTTGGTTGGTTTTTGTTTTAAGATTTTATTGGGGAATTGGGGGAGGGGAATAGCATTGGGGAATTGGGGAACGGGAACAGACAAGTTGCTGTCCTTTTGTTCTTCAGTCTAGTTGTAGAGGACATCGCTTCACTGGCCCATGTTGGTATTATCGTTGTGCTCTTCCCGGGTGAGGCAGATCAGTCGCAGGCCCCTGGACAGCTGCTCTCGGCGGCTCTTGGCAGCTCACACCAGCTGGCTGCCGACCACACATAGCAGCTTATGGCAGCCCACTGCAGCAGAGGCTGCAGCCCACGCCATTGCCGGCGACTCACAGCATCCCAGCTCCAGGTTGAGCTGTTGTTCACCATCTTAGCTATAGAGGGCAGTGTCACTGGTCCTAATGTGGGATCCGAACCGGGGCCTTGCTGCACAGAGCTGGCGTCCCAAGCCAGCTCTTAACCAATGTGCGACTCGGCCGGCCCTGCATATAACTTCTTTACTAAAGGGCTTATCTTTGCCTTAAGCAAGTCCTGTCTATCATTTCTGTGCATCTAAGTTAACACACCTTTGAAATGCCCCCTTTCAGACTCCTCCTGCTAATAACCAACCTCCCTTTCAGACCTCTTCTTCTAAAGTGGACACAAG